ACCGTACCGGGCCAGAGAGCCTCGACCACGCCTCCTGGGAGAGCGGCTTCCGGCTTTGAAGGAACCAATCCGGCCACAGAACTTCCCCCGCCTACTAGCCCACGTTTTCACCTGGTGGACGCGCTGCCTGCTCCGAACTTCCAGGACTTCCTCAGCTAACACGTGCGCTATGCACAGGCTCCATTCCTTCTGCCCTCTCCAGTAAGCCAGGCTCTCCCGGTTATGTGAGCTTTCTAGGCCGTCCGCCCGCTTCACTCCGCCGAATCTTCGAGTTCAGGCCGTTCCATATTTCTTGAGCTGTCCCGGCCACCGTAACGCTTCTGAAGGTTTTGCTTGGGCCACGCCCTTCCTGCGTTAAAGGAACTTCCTGGACACCGGATCCAGATCCCGAGAGCAGGGTTTCTGACCCGAGTCCTCCCGCTCTCACCTCTTTTCCTAACATCCTCTCTCCTCGGTAAATCCCCTTGAGGTTATATTTTTCATGTGCATTCAGAGTACCGTTTCAGGGTTCTCACGGCCGCCACACCTCCACGTTGGATCCTGTCAGCCCCTTCCCTAGGTTTCGGGCCGCCACTTCAGCGCGCATGCGTGTTCTCGGTGACTAGGCTTGGGGACTGGGCTTCCAGGGCTGTATGAGCTGCATGTTTTCTTAGCTATGTATGCATCTTTCTACACTTGTTCAGAGACTCCTGGCTTGGGGAGAGTGTTGTGAAAGCCCACCCAGAGGACAGCGGCTGTTAAACCTTCACCAATGAATTGGGTGGAGGTCTGACGTGGGTTTACATTCTGGTTGTACTACTGATCGGCTAAGTCAGTGGTTCTCAACCTTCCTAATGCTGCGACCCTTTAATACAGTTCCTCATGTTGTGGTGACTCCCAACCATAAAATTATTTTCGTTGCTACTTCATAACAGTAATGTTGCTACTGTTATGATTAGTAATGTAAATATCTGATAGGCAGGATGTATTTTCATTGTTACAAATTGAAGATAATTAAAGCATAGTGATTAATCACAAAAACAGTATGTAATTATATATATGTGTTTTCCGATGGTCTTAGGCGACCCCTGTGAAAGGGTCGTTCGACCCCCAAAGGGGTCGCGGCCCACAGGTTGAGAACCGCTGGGCTAAATGTTCCCCAACAAGTGACATATCTCTTTAAGCCTCCGTTTCTTCCTCTCTTATAAACTAGGCATTATAACCCTAGCCGGTCTGGCTCAGTGGGTAGAGCGTCGACCTGTGAACCGAAGGGTTTTGGTTGGATTCTGGCCAAGCGCACTTACCTCCTCCCCAGCCTGGTCTTGGTCAGGGAGGTGCCAGAGGCAACCAATCTGTTTCTCTCCGTCCTTCCCTCTCTCCACTCTTTCTAAAAAGTCAATGGAAAAAATATCCTCGGGTGAGGATCAAAAATAATAATAATAATAAAATAAAATAATACAAATGTTTAAAAATAAGTAAATA